ATTTGTTTTATGTTGTAGATTTTTAGAAAGAAACCAGAGAAATTCTCTAAGTTGACACCACTGTAAGAGAGGTGGCTAGATGATCTCTAAGATCCTGTCCAACTCTGAAACTATGGTTTTGTGTGTCTATAAGATAATTTTTAATGAGGATATGGTCAATTACATCTACTCTAGGCATTATCCAAAGATTGTAAGTGTTTATAACCTAACAAAACAACTCAGATACTCAGATGGATCCCTGTTTTCATTGTTTCGGGCAGTCCCTCTAATAATGTAGATTGTGATTTATTCATGTGTGCCCAAGTCCTCCTTGTCCTCTCTTGAGTTCACCACAAGAGTCCATTCAAGGTACTGGGCTCCTTCTTTGTTTTCTCCTGACATTCTTAGGACACTATTGGAATGCTTGGGCTCTCTACCTGGGAATCATTAAGGAACTGACTCACATTAATCCATCATTATAAATATATATAATGCCAGGAGGAAAAAAATGAATCTGTAGCTAAATGGAAGGATGGATCACAGTACTCCTTAGATAGGCAGAAAAAGGAATTGGAAGTATGGGTTTTATCATATACCCAAAGAAATAAGAAACACTTTGGATTAATATGAGTGATTGCCGTGTTCGTGGAGAGAAAGATATTGAAAGATGGTCTGGAGGCAGTGTAAATGAGAAGTCCAAGATAAGTTAGGTCATGAGCCTGGATGAATTGGAAGATGTTGGTATTCTCAACAGTAATAGGAAAAAATGGGAATCAGGTAGGATTTTGTGGTAAAAATAATGAGTTCTGTTGGGTTTGAGGTGTCTATAGGATATCTGGTTCAAGATGCCCAAAACACAGTTGGTGATACTAGACTGGAGCTCAAGAGAGAGACTTGAGCTGGATATACAGATCTGGGAATCAGATAACATAAGAGATGATAATTGAATCAAGGGAGCTGATGAGATCACCAAGCAAGATAGTATATAGAGAGAAGGAAAGCTGCCTGAGGTTAAGCCTTGGGACATACATGGTTAGTGAGCATAAGCAGAGTAATATAGGTGGAATAAATACAAAATAAATACCAGGCAGTTAATGGAGGATGGCTAATGCAATAAATAGAGACTAGAGATGGAGGACTATATGTGAAGAACAAAGAGAAAGCCAATTTGTCTGACCCATAGAGTGTAGGAAAATGGGAGTAAGGTATAAGGAAAAGATACATAGGAGCCAGGTTATTAAGGGCTTTAAAAACCAAACATAAGAGTTTATATTTTAACCTGGAGGCAATAGGAAGCCACTGGAATTTGTGCAAGGAGGTTATAACAGTCATGATGTGTGCTTAAGGGGAGATCACTTTGGCAACACTGTGGAGGATGACCTGAAGTAGGGAGAGATTTGAGGCAGTGAAACCAATTTGGAGACCATAGGTGAGAAGTACTGAGGATGTAAATTAAAGTGATGGCCATGTGAATGGAGAGAAAGTGTCAGATATGAGAGATGTGATGAAGGAAGAAATGGTTAGATTGGCAACAGATGGATATGTGGGCTGGAAGAGAATGAGGAGTACAGGATAATCCTGAGGTTGTAAAACTGGGATACTAGAAGAATTGGTGGTACTTTGAAAGAAATAGGGAAGTTTGGCTGGGGGGAAAATAATGAGTATCATTTTGGGCATGTTGAGTTTGAGATATCTCTGGAATATCCAGTTCAAGATATGCAAAGGCAGTTGGTGATGCCAGACTCATGTCGGGAAAAAGATTGAATGGATATATAGAGTCGGGTAATTAAACTCACAAGAGTTGATGAGGTTACCAAGACAGTATAATAGAAAAGAGATGGGTGCAGCATAGAGCCTTGGGGAACTCCCACAGTTAAGGGACGTGATACGTGTGATGAGCCAGTAGTGGAGATATGAGTGGTCAAGAGATGTAGGAGAACATGGAATTAATAGTATCTCAAAAATACAGAGAAGACAAGGTATTCAAGAGGACAGGGTAGGGTGGGCAGCAATGTCAAATATAGCAGATAGGTTGAGAAGGATAAGGACTAAGAAAAGAACTTCAGATTTCACAATTAAGACATCATTGGTAACTTTGAAGGGAACAATTTTAGTTCAGTGAGTTGGGGCAAGCCAGATTGCAAAGGTTTGAAGAATGAGTGAAAGGAGAAATGAAGGTAACCTAGTATAGATAGTTTTTACTAGTGTTTATCTAAGAAAGGGAAGAGAAATATTCTCCTACCTTGAGGGGGATGGTAGGATCTAATAGTGAAGGTTTTTTTAAGGTTGGGGAAAATTTAGATATGTTTGAAGGCAGTAGGGGATATAAGCGGTAGATAAGGAGAGACTGATAATGGGGGGAGAAGACAATTGAGGTAGCAGTATGCAGAAGTAGGGAGGGATTGGGATGAGAGGTCAATGAGAAGGGTTTGGCCTTGGCAAAGATCTTGGTATGATCTCTAGTTTTGAGATGAAGAGAACAGGAGAAAATGTAGGTCATGTGAATGGTCCTCAATTTTCTTAGTAATATAAAATACAAAATTCTTAGCCAAATGAACAAAAATTGCTTGCAGAAATTAATTTAAAAGCCCAGGTTGGATTGATAAGAAAAGAATAACTTTGTCACCTGAGATGGAGTCTTTTCAGTCACTTTCATTTTAACAGATTTTTGTTTTGATTTTATTACTTAAACCATTTAAATTAGTTTACACATGCCATAATGCCTGGGGAATCTAATTTCCTGAAGACAGGGACTGTTTCACTTTCGCCTTTTTATTCCTAGAACTTAACATAGTGCCTGAAACTTTTAGAACTTAATAAATGCTTGTTGATTGATCTCAAAACTTCTTGAAAATCTCCAGCAAATGGAGGTAGCCAGAATTGTTGAAACAATAATCAACAGAAAAGAAATCCACCCACTTGATACTTATGGTGCCCAATGTGAGTTAGATTTCAGTCATGTTCCTTTCTTTCTCCTTACTCATCAGCAAAGACACCTGACATTTCCACAGCTAGGCTGCATGCCTATGATCCTGGGGGAATCACTGGAAATAGGGAATTCTGGCATGTAGCAGGCTAAGACAGTCAGGTGTCTACAGATGTCTGACCGCAGCTTCGGGGCCCCTGTATTTGAGTATCAGGTTGCCTAAAGAGGGATGAACCATCCAGGGTCAGAAATGGTGTGTGTCAAAGCTTCAGTGCCTGTCAGTAGTGTGAACAAGCCATGAGGGGCCACTGTACTTCCAGCCTGGGTAAGATGGGGAGACCCAGTCTCTAAACTAAACTAAACTTTCACAGCTGTTGCATGGATAATCTAGTAAGAAAGCCAACTACTTGATGATATTCAAGCTGGTAATGGCTAGGTCTAACTACATACTTCCTGTGTAACAGTTGAAGAGCTAACACATTGTTGTGGGTAGGGGATTTGTGTTTGGGGAAATGATCATTTAATGTTTTTGTTTGTCCTTATTTTGAAGGGTAATTTACTTTCACTACTTTTTAAACCACCTTTTCATATTTAAAATGCTCCCAATATTGACTATGTATGCAGTTCCTGACTTACAGTTCCTCAGCATAGAAATGGTCCATATGTTTAAAAAAAAACAACTACCTTTCCAGGTGCTTTTGTTGAGATTGTTTTTAGATCTGCTGGCCCAGTTGGAGTCCCTGAGGCAGTGGGCTATGGACCTGTATCCGCAGTGGAGCCACTGTTTCCCCATCCTCTAGACCTCTTATTTGATATACGTAATACCAGAGCCCCTGACCTGTCTCAGACTCACAATACTAGACTAATCATGGAATGGAATCCATAGCTACTATGAGAAATATTGCTGGGGACCCTTTGGTCCTACTGTCAAGATTGAGCAGGGGGAAAGCAATCCTTCTTCCTAGGGAAAGAGGATATGTGTTCTTGATATCCTCACTTAAAATTTGGGAATGTATTTTCCCATTGAAACAGTTTGATAAATAGGTTAGTGCTTTTTGTGGAAAATGCATCCTGACCTCTAGACAATTGATTTATGCACAGTGATGTATAATCAACTTAATGGCCATGATAAACTGAACTCACTTTCTAAACTAAACTTTATCTTTTCCACCAAACTTTTTCCCCTTCCAAACTTGCCTGTTACTGTCAGGAGTGACAGCATCCTCAGAGTCACAACCTAGGTTTCATTCATGACTTACTGTCATTCCCCACCTTCCCCGTATCCATTCTGTTGTGATTTTACCTTCATAACATCTCTCACATATGTCCCCCCTTCTCTCTTCTTACATTGACACCACCTTGGTGTAGGCTTTCATCACTTTACACCTAGACTATTGCAATAGCCTTCTGGTTGGTCTCCCTGCCTCGGTTTTCTCCCACTATCTTCCACTCAGTTCTCAAAGGGATCTACCTAAAGTATAGATCTGGCCATATCACTCCCCCCCCCCTTAATAAACTTCCAATGGCTCCCCGTCACCTCCAGTATCGAATATAAAATCCTGTGTTTTATGTTCAAAGGTCTTCATAATCTGCCTCCCCATGCCTTACCTTTCTAGTCTTCTTAGACATTACACTTCCTCCATGTACCCTGTGATCCAGGAACACTGGCCTTCTTGTTGGGCCATCTCCCAATTCCAAGCCTTTTCTCTGGCAGTTGTCCATGGATTCTCTCCCTCATCTCCACCTCTTGGCATCACTGACTTATGCCAAGTTCCAGCTAGAATCCAGCCCTTCCCAATCCCCCTTAAGATTAGTGTCTTCTCTCTGTTGATTATCTCCAATTTTTTCTGTGTGTGTTTTATATGTACTTAGTTGTTTTCATGTAATCTCCCCCAATAGCTTGAGCTTCTTGAGAGCGGGGATTGTCTTTTGTCTTTCTCTGTATTCCCAGCTCTTAGTACACTGCTTGGCAGGTGCTTAACGAATCCTTATTGATTTGACTTGAATAGTGGGAGCCCAAGCTGTTTTTTCTTACTTGTAATTTTAAATTGGGAGCAGATATGCATGTAGCATTTTCATTCTTATTTCCCTTTAGGTATTTTAAAGCAAGTAAAAGACTACATTAAAGAGTGTAGCAAATGCCAGGAGAAGCTGGATCGAGCCCGCCCAATATCAGATACTTCAGAAATGTTGGAAGAATTGGGATTAGAACTAGAATCTACTGAAGAGAGTAATGAAACAGATGATGACCAAAGCAATCCTGCATCTGTTCCAAGTGCAGTGTCCAAGACTGTGAAAAAGAAGCCAATATCCAAACATGAACTTGTATTTGTAAGTGGCATTTAACCACTGCTTTAAAATTTGTAACTATAGTAATATAATAGAGTATTTGGTTTTAGTGAATTTTATTTTTCTGAAACCATTAAGAAACTTTGGCTAATGGCATTAATATTAAATGAGAAACTAGCTTTAGGGACCCAAAGTACATTTGTCTATTTAATATTACCAAATAGTAGCATGTTAGGTTGGTAAGTTAAAAGTGTTCTGGTAATGTTTTTTCAACCTTCCTAAATATCCCTATTGTTTCTTCCCTTTAGAATTTAGGTATAAATTAACAGCCTCTTGTGGCTTTTGTGTGTAAGTGGCAGGTGAGAGAGGCAAAAAGAGTGGGGACAGGTCATATCTATTGAAAGGTGTTGGTGAATGCTGTGATAAACTAATGAGACACAGAATGAGGCAAACAATGAGACACAGTTTTGGCCGTAGCCAGGATTTATCATTTGACTCTTCTTGATTGTTGTAAGAGTTTTGTTCTTTTTCTTTTTTTTTTATTTCTAGGGGATGGGGAGTGGAGAGTGGGGTACTAGTACTGGCAGGAAGAGGTGGGAGCAAGAAAAATCAAAACTGAAAAACATTTTAAAAGATTTTGAAGTAGAACACTAACTTATATTATTGATGACAGCTCGTTCAAGAGTGAAGAGAGATGTTTTACATTTTCAAGTATAGACAGTATAATACAACTTTTGGTCTTGAATTTCTTTTTGATAGGTTGACACTAAAGGTGTTGTGAAACAGTCTTCACCAAAACATTGTCGAGCAGTCTTAAAACAGCTGAATCAGCAGAGACTTAACAATCAGTTCTGTGATGTTACTTTGTTAATTGAGGGAGAAGAGTACAGAGCTCATAAGTCTGTTTTGTCAGCTAACAGCGAGTACTTCCGAGACCTTTTTATAGAAAAGGGCGCCGTTTCTAGTCATGAAGCTGTGGTGGATCTGTCAGGTAAAATAAATTAAGTAATTTTTATTTTCTCTTTGTGTATAAGCTTCTGAGAGAAGTATATGGAGCCCCAGTGCGATCGTCTGCTGTAGTTAAGAGGGGTCAGGAAGCAAACTGAACTACATTGGCTTGGACTTTTTCTCGTTTCAAGTGTGATACACAGGATGGGGTTTGGAAAAAGGTGTTTTTTTCTGTTTTTTTTATTCCCACCACTCGATGTGTAAATACCCATGTTGATGATAGCAGACAAATTCCTGATATTTGTCGTGGGGCTTTTAGACACCATGGAGTAAAGTGTAACTGTCCTTGATATGTTTGTGTCCTCAGATATGTTGTAACTAGCACATCACACTGGAGAAATATTTGTGTATCTGGTTTTTGAAACCTTAATTTAGAAAATATGTGTTAACAATCAAATTCAGTAAATTTTCAGTCAGATATAATCCTGGTTCTGTGTCCATTGCTTAAATGGATCATTTGAAAATTTACCGCGCTTTGACTGAGATTTAGTGTCTTTAGCTTTCCAGGTGAATATTGGGAAAATGTAGCACTTTAGATAGGGTGACATGAGTTATGTGTACAATTGTAATAATACTTTTAATTGACCACGAAAGGACTTGTGGCGTTTTATAACATTCTATATTTACAATTGTGCATTTATTTCTGATGAAATTTGCTATCCCAGTAATTGCTAGGAAAGATGTTCCCATTCTTCCAGAAAATCAAAAAGAGACGCAGGGTATCACAAATGTTGGTGCATATTTTTACTGTTTTAATATTTGGTACTGTGGCATTCTTTTTCACCTGACTTTTGTGACTGAATAGAGGGGGGTAAATCTTGCACTAGGTAGACTAAACAGAATTCACTTTCAGAATGTAGTGTATGCAACACTTTGGGATCATTTTCCTGCCTTTTATACATCTTCAGGCAGAACGAGAAATATATAAGGGTATTTCCCTTTTCTGCCTTCCTTAGAAAATTTAAAGCAAGTGAAAGATCAATGTTCAGGGAAAATGTTTGCTACAAACACCCATGAAATACTATTAAGCAGTACCCTAGTGAACCACTGAAGCACACACATTTAACAATCCAAGTGCAGCCTTTCATGATGAAAGCAGATAGTTAATGAAATTAGCACTTCTGAATTAAGAACAATTCTTATTCACACAATTTATCCTCAAAGGAGTAATTAGAAAAGAGTGAAGCAATATCATTAGATTTGCTAATGTTTTTTATTTTTTTAAATTCTTTGTTACAAAGAATGGCTCTCTTCGTAGGAGTTGGGGAGGAATATATTTGGAAATGAAGGTGATTTAAAAACAAAATATATCAATAAATTGTTTTAAGAGAATATAACAGAAGAAAATGGGTATTTATTTTGTGTTCTATTCCCGAAATGTTCATGATCAGAGCAGAGACAGGATTGTATGGGGATAGAACAAATGGTTATGTTTGACTTTTATTTTTTAGTGATGATGATGGGAGAGTGTTATATCGATATTTACAGCAGCTCAGTATGCATAGATCTTCAGTTTTTTGTAATTTTTCCTTTTACAATCTGCCGCTTTCCCCCTTTGTTCTGTACAGGCTTTTGTAAGTCAAGTTTCCTTCCCTTGCTGGAGTTTGCTTATACTTCGGTGTTAAGTTTTGACTTTTGTAGCATGGCGGATGTTGCCATCTTGGCCCGCCACCTTTTCATGTCTGAAGTCTTGGAAATCTGTGAAAGTGTACATAAACTAATGGAGGAAAAGCAGATTACCGTATACAAAAAAGGTGAAGTACAAACAGTTGAATCTACTCAAAATCTACCAGAGAAGAATGGAGGTATAGCACAAACTGTGGGCAACATTGAAGAAGTTGTACCCCCAGAACTTGAAACCAGTGCATTTGTGTCCCCTATAAATGGAGAATTTCCAGGTGACGGGCAGGAAGGTGAGAGTACTCAGCTGGTTGAACCCCAGGTTTGTTCAGAGGCTCAGTCTGTTTTCATACAGACAGAAAATACAACCCATTCACATTCTGGAATCAAGTCTGAAGCAGTGACAAACAGCAACATGATAATTCTTGAAATAGAAACCTCAGATACCAGAAAAGATGACAGAGTTTCCAAGGCCCTTCCCACTCCTTCTGTGGTGGAGGAAGGGGACACCAGCACTGCAGTGGACAAAGAAATGGAAAATGATGATGATAGCAAATCATTTGAAGATAACCGTGCTGAGGATGTTGCAGAAGATCACAAGCAAAACTATGGCCAGCCAACACAAGTCCAAGGAAGCCCTGTGGCACAACAAGAGAAGGCAGCCCTCAGCCCCGATGACACTTACAAAAGCAGGCTCCGTCAGCGCTCTGTTAGTGAAGGTGGATATATACGACTACACAAAGGAATAGAGAAAAAGCTTCAGAACAGGAAAGCCAATCCTAAGTCAGCAGTTCAGCAGGTATGATGATCAGTTGTGTGTGCATACTTCTCATTTTGACCTAATGTTGAAACTAATTTGTTAGTAAAAAGTATGCCTATAGAAAAGATGTAACTGACTCTTTTGGGGAAAAATGAGATCCTAATTGTCATTCTAAGAGTTCCAAATAATATTAGCAAAATGGTAAAGAAACTAGGATATCAACAGTAACACTCCTTCATTAAAATGTGTTTTCTGCCCTGTAATTAGGTTGCCCTGAAATTAGTTCAAAGGGGGAAAAAAATGAAGCAGCCCAAAAGAGAGGCTAATGAGAACACAGAAGAAGAAACAGCACACAGATGCAGTGAATGTGGAATGGATTTTCAGAGACGCTATGCCCTTATCATGCACACATTGAAACATGAAAGAACTAAAGATTACAAGTGCCCAGTAAGTTTCTGCTACTAAAATTTGGAATACAGTTCTAAATATATGATATCTTGAATCTGATGGATTGATAGTTTTTGTTATTCTGATATGCTGGTATCCTATTTTAGGTTAATTTTTCTCCAATAACTATTTTCTGCATTTTTTTAAAAGTATGATTTTTTTCTTGTGGATTTATTTTGGTTTTGTGTATCAAAAAGATAGTTCTTCAGTGTCAAAGGCTACAGAAAGGTTGAGGAAAATGTGGATTGAGAAAAGTATTTGGCAACTAAAAAATCATTAGTGACTTTGGAGAGAGCAGTTTTGGTGAATCAGTGATAAGGTTGGATGCTAGATTTAAGGGGTTAAGAAGAGAGTGAGCAGAAAGTGGAGGCACTGATTGTAGAAGACCTTTTCAAGGATTTTAGCCCCAGAAGACAGAAGAGGTACAGGATGATAGTTAGCAAAGATGAAGAGATCAAGTGAAGGTTTTTTGAAGATGGAAGAGACATGGCTTGTTTGTAGGCAGTAGGAAAGGAGCCAGTAGACATGGAGAGATTGAAAATAAATAATAAAGTGGGAAAGAAAGAGAGGGCAATCTGTCAGAAGATGGAATGGGATCACCTGTGCAGATAGAAGGGTTAGTCTTGATAAGCAGTAAGGCTACCTCTTCATGTGAAACAGGGGTAAAGGAGGAGAGAATGGCAGAAAGCATCTGAGTGATAAGAGCTAAGGAGGAGGGGAGAAGAACACAGTACCAAGAAAAGAAAATATCCCCAAGTCAAATAAAAAAAATTGTTGGCAATTTCATGGTTGATTTTTTTTTATTCTGAATTTAACACCAAATAAATTGAGCATTTCAGTATACAGAGTAAAATAAAAAATGAGTATTGTACATGAAACAGAGAATCTTTTATTTCATAGTTTGCTTTTTCTTTTAAGCATATAATAAATTTAACTTAGAACTTTTGGGGGGAAAAGATAGTTCTTAATCTTTGTATTAAGTACTTTTTTGATCTAGGTAATAGAGGGTTGTAGGCTTTTTTTTTTTAAATGAAGGCAACTCTTTATGAAAAATAATTATAATTGATGTAGTGCTCAGAGATCATTCCTACTTTAGAACTGTTTATTTTTATGTAGGTGAACTATCTCCTTCTCTGCCAGGTTGTAACTCAGGGAGCAGAACCAAGTTTTTGTCTTATATATAGGTGTCTTCCAGAGCTTTATGGCAAGCAGAGGCTCAATAAATGTTCAGTGATGGAGAATTTGATAGAATTTCCAATTATTTGATTAAAATTAAATGTATTTATAAATTACTGAATTTAAATTTTTGCTTTTTAGTTGTGTAAAAAAGAATTTCAGTACAGTGCTTCTTTACGAGCACACCTCATTCGGCATACCCGAAAAAGTGATGTGCCTACTTCCTCTACTGCTGAAGAAGATTCAGGAGCATCAAGTGAAAAGGGTCGAACCAAGCGAGAATTTATATGTTCTATATGTGGAAGGACATTGCCCAAACTATATTCTCTCAGAATACACATGTTGAAGCACACAGGTGTGAAGCCACATGCATGCCAGGTAAGTGTGAATGTACGTGTGAACAGATAATAATATATGTTAAAGAAAAGGATCTGAACTAGCTATAGTGGCAGAACAGGTTTACTATATTCTAATGGCAGAATAACTGAATCATTCTCACATATAAAATATTACAGAGAGTGTTGCTGTTGTGTGATTTGCTCAGGCCATGAGTATTCTCATGGAAGTGCAACAAAAATGATCAAATACAGCCATCAATATAGGTACAATCATATCCAAATTAAAGGACACATCCCTTCTATTAACAGCCAATAAGAAACTTCTCAGGAAATGTACTTTGTAAGTGGATTTAATTGGGTGTGGATAGGAAAGGGGTGGTTATATTTAAACAAAATTTATGAAAATTTTTAAAGCTATAGATTTTTGTCTGGACTTAGCAGAGCCTCCTAGAACAGATTGGTTTTCTCTGCCATATACACACGTGGGTTCCCATTCTGTCAGCCTTAAGGGTCCTCTAACTATTTGGATGGTCTAGGATTGAAAAAGTATCTGTGGTTCAAGCAGAGGCCTGGACCTTGTATATTTCTGGTGTCCTTTTAAGCTGCTCTTTCTCCTGGGAGTCTAGCAACATGGACATGGACATCTAGCAACATAATTGATTTCTAGTTAATGAAATCACTCTATTGAGTCTATTGGATCAGCGGGACTGATGTCCATTTCTGATCCTTAATGTAGGAAACTGTGTGTAAAATGGGGCCAATACTTAAGTTATCTGTTTCACAGAGACAGTATGAGCTATTGTCATGGCATTTACTAAATAATATAAGGGTACCTCTGTTGTTTCTTCATAAGCAATATGATGGGTAAAGAAGCTATATATAGCTCTGCAGATGGAACAGTCAGTCCTTAAAATCTGGCTTTGAAATAGTAAAGTCCTCTTAGTGGCTTGTGAATAGTCTCTTGTTCTTCAGAAACAGTATTTGCTTTCCCTTTCCTTTTTTTTTTTTTAACTAATAGCTTTAACAAAAAACTTTTCATAGGTCTGTGGAAAAGCTTTCATTTACAAGCATGGTTTAAAATTACACCTGGCTCTCCATGAAACACAGAAACAGTTCCAGTGTGAGCTGTGTGTTAAGTCTTTTGTCACCAAGCGTAGTCTTCAAGAACATATGAGCATTCATACAGGTACAGATACCAATTATACTGAGACACTATGCATGTGTGTGAGTGTACATGTTTTTTGTTCTGGGAAAGGAATGGATACTAAAAAGCTTCCTCCAGTGTAGTAAACTGTCTTAGGTGGGGACAGTAAAAATTGGATTGGTTTGTTTTGGGGATAACCCGTATTTTTTCCACTATTAACAAGGAGTTTCTAACAATGTTTTGCTTGAATAATACAGCTTGAAATAGGATTATAACTTCAGTACCTTAACGAAATTAGGTTATGCTTACAAGAAATCAGGCCATAGGCAAATAATAGATTTAATAACTAACCTAATCTTCCCATTTTTACCATAAAAAAAATTATAAGCCCCATCATGATAATGATTTGCACTAATCATTATTCAGTAGTCATTAAGAAAATATATAATGACAAAAAGTTACTATTCAGTAGCACTTAAAATTATTTTATTAATCACAATACATAAATTTAAATAATATTATCTATGTTTTTAAGACCTGTTATTGTGTTAGCAAAGAGCATATTTGCTTATTTATTATGTCATGTAATGGGAAAAGGATTCAGGAGAAAATAGAGCATTTTTTGTTAATGTGTTATTAAAGTTGATATGCATGTTAAAAACTACCAATAGTGAAGCTTAGGGTTTCAGATACTTTTTGGGGGGGGTCTTCAGTTCAGAAAATATAAGACTTTTAGAAAAAATACTATTGTCATGTCAAACATGACAAGTTTTTTATTTTAACAGGAGAGTCAAAATACCTTTGCTCAATCTGTGGAAAGTCTTTTCATAGGGGCTCAGGACTCAGCAAGCACCTAAAGAAACATCAGCCAAAGCCTGAGGTTCGAGGTTATCAATGTACTCAGTAAGTGTTTAGAATATAAAACATTCAATTAGTTTTAACACAGTTTGTTCTATTTGGTTATTTGACAAAAGTTTAAATGTTGTAGAATTCCTCTGTTCAGATTTATGTCACTTTATGATGATGTTTTCATAAGCTTATTATGTTTATAAAAACTTGTTTTGCACCGTATAATTACAGTGAATAAGTTTGAACCCAGAGAATAGTTGAGGTAATGCTCTTCCATCAATTATTTCATTGCAAGTTAGAGGACTATAGCTATAAAAATGTAGCATGTACTGTTAGACATGATTAATGTGTTGGTTGGTTTTGCTGAACTGCTTTTTCCATTTCTTTATAAATCTTTGTTACAAAGGATAGCATGTAGGGTAGGGAAAGCAGAGGGATGTATCAAAAAATAAATGTGTTATAAAAACAAAAAGGCATCAATAAAAAATGAAAATTTGCTTTGAATAAGAATATGATTTAGTTTGGTGATTAAATTTCTTTATTACAGATGTGAAAAAAGTTTCTTTGAAGCTCGAGATCTCCGTCAGCACATGAACAAACATCTTGGTGTGAAGCCATTCCAGTGCCAATTTTGTGAAAAGTGCTATAGTTGGAAGAAAGATTGGTATTCCCATGTAAAGTCTCATTCTGTCACGGAGCCTTATAGGTGAGTGAGCTTGGGAAATTTCTGATTCAAACTAAGATATGGCATAGTACTTCCGGGTCTGATTCTTAGGGTTTTCTGATGTATAAGTATTAGTAAAATCATGTATCATATTTTAGGTGCAATGTATGTGGCAAGGAATTCTATGAAAAAGCCTTATATAGAAGACATGTAAAGAAAGCTACTCATGGGAAGAAAGGAAGAGCAAAACAGAATCTGGAACGTGTATGTGAACAGTGTGGAAGAAAATTTACTCAACTACGGGAGTATAGAAGACATATGAACAACCATGAAGGTATGCTTAAATGTATTAATGTAGAAGGAATGCCTTTTTGGAACTGCTTTTCTCCTCATTTTCTACCTTTATGGTTTTTCTGGGTTTGGGGTGTGTGTGTGTGTGTGTGTGTGTGTGTGTGTGTGTGTGTGTGTGTGAGAGAGAGAGAGAGAGAGAGAGAGAGAGAGGCACTCGGGGTTAAGTGACTTGCCCAGGGTCACACAATGGGCAAGCGTCAAGTGTCTGAGGCCAGATTTGAACTTAGGTCCTCCTGACTCCAAGGGCAGAGCTCTATGTGCTGCGGCACCTAGCTGCGCCTATTTTCTACCTTTCTACCATTGTTGTTTGTGAACCCACTGGGCTCCATCCCTTTCCTTTCCTGTTGGAAGTGACTGATGCTGTGACTCTAGAACATGCCTGTACAGTCTAATCATCTTAGTTACAGGTAGAATCCTATCCTAATTTGATTAAAGCATAAACATCTTGATATATAATGAAGCACATTTAGCTGAACTTTGTTAAGATGGAAGACTATTCCCCACTCGACAGAGGAAGAAAGTACACTATGATAACCTGACTTCCGAAAAAGGTATTCAGTATGCACTAGGTATCCCCAAGTAATATTAAATTGTAAGGAGAGAACTTGTCTATAAAAGATGTATTACCATATCAAGAGCAGTGGTATCCTAAGGTGAATTCATTTTCCCCTTACATCTGTAACTTCTTCCATATGTGAATACGGTATCTATAGAAGATGTTTTTGGCAAAACGTGACATTTCAGATGCTGTTGTGTGGTTTGAACGTTTGAGGTTATGATTTTTTAATTTTCATCAGTTAGATGAAGGGGGGGAAAAGAGTGACTAGAGAAGTCTTTTGAGGTCTAGAAAGCCATTAACTACTCAGACCTGCCCATACCTACAGGATGGGCTCCCTGCATAATTTCAGGTACATCTTGGGTGCTTAGGCAATTTGACTAATACCCTGGAATGTCTTCAACACAGGTCCAGGAAAAGGCTTCACATCTGGAAATTTCAGAGCCCCCAGCAAGTAGGCTTTGGAAAAATCTACCTTGTAATTTTCTCTAGTCTATGTTGACTTTCCTCACCTGTCCCTGTATATAAAATAGTTGAGAGGTAATTGCTGCTTTTAGACTAACTTTACCTATTTGTGAAGTTTTCTGCATTGCTTATTTAGAGTTCTTAAAATTTGTTCTCACTTATCAGGGGCTCTATTGTTGGCTTAAAAAGTAACAAAAACATTTAAACAAATTAAAACAGCTCTGAGGTACCATCTAACACCTATCAAATTAGCTAAGATGACAAAAGGAAAATGACAAATGCTGGAGGGGATGAGGGAAAATAGATACACTTATAAAATATTGGTGGAGTTCTGAACTGGTCCAGCCATTCTGGAGAACAATTTGGAATTACTCAGAAGGCTATAAAATCGTATATACCCTTTGACCCAACAATACTGCTACTAGATCTGTATCCCAAAGAGAGCAAAGAAAAGGGAAAAGGACTTATAAGTACAAAAATATTTATAGCACCTCTTTTTTTGTGGCGGCAAAGAATTGAAAATTGAGGGGATACTTATCAGTTGGGGAATGGCTGAACAATTTGTGGTATATAATTGTGATGGAATACTGTTGTGCTGTAAGAAATGGTGAAGGAGGTGATTTCAGAAAAACGTGGAAGACTTGTTCGAACTGATGCAGAGTAAAGTGAGCATTGTACACAGTAACAGCAATATTGTAATAATGATCAACTTTAAGACACTCAGCTACTCTGATCAATAGAATGATCCATGACAGTTCCAAAGGACTCTTGATGAAGAATGCTATCCATCTCTAGAAAAAAAACTGATGAACTCTGAGTACTTATTGAAGCATTTTTTCTTTATTTTTTCTTACCTTTTTTAAACAACATGGCTAATATGTTTCACATGATTTCATGTGTTGTATTGTATTGTATCGCTTGCTTTCTCAGTGGGAAGGGACTGGAAGGGAGGTAAAGAGTTTGGAATTCATAGGGGCACCTAGGTGGTGCAGTGGATAGAGCACCGGCCCTAAAGTCAGGAGGACCTAAGTTCAAATCCGGCTTCAGACCAAACACTTGACACTAGCTGTGTGACCCTGGGCAAGTCACTTAACCCCAATTGCCTTAAGAAAAAAAAGTTTGGAATTCAAAATTAAAAAAAATAATAATTGTCAAAAATAAGTAGCAAAACTTTATTTTAAAAAAGTAACAAAAAGCATTTAGCATGTATTTTGAGCTACATAACTTCCCTAAACAAAAATTCCATAAACAAGGATCTGCATCAGGGTTCATTAATAGCTAATTCTTTTCCATCTTTCTCTTGCACTAACCTTCACAGAGTCAGTAGAATAAAGTGGTCATTGAGAAGGTTGTAGTTTCTTGTAGTGAGAAAAATGTCATGATCACTGTATAATGTTTATGTGATATCTTTTAAAATGTTGATATAAGCAATAAACCAAGTAATTTCCCTCAGTCCTCAGGAATAAAAGAGTTTACTGAGAAAGACACTGTGGTGGATGTGGTAGCAAGGGGGTGTTTAAAAAGACAAAAATAAAATAGTCCATACCCTCAAGGAGCTTATATTCTACTGGATGTAGACAGTTTGTACACAGAGAAGTAAATACAGAGTAGCTTGAGGAATGAAAGAGAGCTAATGACTGGGGGATCAGGAAGCTTCAAGTTGAATTTGAGTAAGAGGTGGCACTTAAATTGAGCTTTTAAAGAACCCAAGGATTCTAAGAGGTGAAGATGAATAATAGGAAGTGAATCCTAGCTGTGGGGGAGAGCACGTGCAAAGGCACAGACATGGAAGGTGGAATGTTGAGTTCAAAGAACAACTAACTAGTTACACTAGTTTGGTTGAAACATAGTATGTGAAGGGGGCTGGGGAGTAACATGCAATGAATCTGAAAAAGTAGATTGTACCCACATTGTGCAGAGCTTTAAATGACCCAGGTTGAGGAGTTTGTGTTTTATGCTAAAAAGAGTAGGGAGCCATTGATGATTTTTTAGCTAGAGAGTGGCAGGTAGTGAGGGGGCTGAACAGGAGTAGTAACTGAGTGGAGAGAATGTGATATATTTGATAGAATGTGTGGAGGTAGAATCAATAAGACTTGGAAACTGATTAGACTAGCAGTGAGGGAGGAGCAGGAGCTCGTATCAAGGAAAACTCCAGAATTGCAATACTGGAGAAGGATGATGGCGCCATCAACTGAAAAAGCCATAAGAAGAGAATATAAAGAGGTAGTGACATGTTTTGGACATTATATTTATATATAATAAAAAGTGATCCATCTCCATATGGCCATGTGATAGATCTGAGAAATCATGGATCAACATGTTTTCTTCCTAAAACATGGAATGTAATCTTGATCTAATATATTCATTTTATCAGCTACTATAAAGCAAGTTAGACTTCTGTAACCTTAAAACTTAGGTCTATATATGGCTAACCGTAAAAGTTAAAATAATTTCCTGGCAACTACTTAATATACTATTTTTTCTTCCTATAGGAGTTAAGCCATTCGAATGCTTAACTTGTGGAGTTGCTTGGGCTGATGCACGTTCCCTGAAACGCCACGTAAGAACGCACACAGGTGAACGGCCCTATGTCTGTCCTGTGTGCAATGAAGCTTATATTGATGCTCGAACACTCCGGAAACACATGACCAAATTCCACAGAGATTATGTGCCTTGCAAGATTATGCTGGAGAAAGATACCCTTCAGTTTCATAACCAGGGAACTCAAGTGGAGCATGCCTTTAGCATCTTAACATCAGGCATGCAAGAACAAGAAAGCAGTGGTCCTCAGGAAATTGAGACTGTAGTAGTGACCGGAGAAACCATTGAAGCTATTGAAGCTGTTGCAGCTACTGAGGAATGTGCATCCGTGTCAACTCTTTCTGACCAAAGTATTATGCAAGTAGTTAATTATGTACTGGCACAGCAGCAAGGACAGAAGATATCTGAAGTAACAGAAGCTATTGAAACAGTGGAAGTTGAAGTGGCACATGTTTCAGAACCAGAGTGAGCACCATAACAGCTAGAGGAAATTTTGGTAATGACTCTTCCTGTGCCATAAAGCTGCACACAGCTTGTTTACAGCATCTGACTTACAGCTCCGAGTCCCTATTTCAAGGTTTTTTGCTTCTTGATGATGCACTATCTACATTGCTAAACAGTCTGTCCAGCCTAAAGGTTCTGTCAAGAAGTTTCTCTCTCTCTCTCTCTCTCTGTCTCTCTGTCTCTCTCTCTCTCTCTCTCTCTCTCTCTTTCTCTCCCTCTCCCTCTCCCTCCCCCCCCATTTTAGTTATATAGTATAGAGAAATTTGAAAGAAATCTTTCTATTTGTTTATCATGGTACAATTTTTAATGGATTAATTTTTATAAAGACTGTACTTAGAATTGTATAGTTTCAGTCCTGTTTTCACTTTATTTTGAATGTATGTTTTGAGCTTAAAAGGATATTTCTCACTAGGCTGTCGTCAAAATATGGAGGTAAAATTTTGTGATTTGACTTGCCCTATTTACAGATTGCAAAGAAAATTCAGATACTGAAGCATTTTACTAGTGTCCGTAGGTACACTGTTCTGTACAATAATAGCTTTTAATGTCTTAAAATCTGTGATTTGTGACTTACTGTTTAAATTCAATCCTTCCAAGTCAAGGACTTTATTTCATTTTAAAGCACTTATTGAGCCACATGGTTATAAATCAAGTTTGCACTTGACTATGTAGGCAATCTATAACTGAATATTTAGTCCTAGGTTTTTGGGTTTTTTTAAATGCCATGAAATTGTGTAGTATGTCCAGCAAAATAAGCCTTGTTTTGTCATCTCTTTAAGGCAAGGAGATTGACCTGGAGGGTGGAGAGCTTTGTTATTGTTGAAATTAGACACTGTTAATGAGGAAAATCCTTCCATGTTAACTTTAGTACAATACATAAATAGAAAATCTTGTTCTTTTGCTATAGCATGAACAAGTCAAAACTAGGTTTGATGTTTTCAGCCATTGTATCATGTTTAATTGCTTAATTTAATTGAAAAACTGGATCAATTTAGAAGCAGAATAGCCACCAACACACGCAATATGTTGCAAGAATACTGCGTAATAGTCAAGTTCAGTAATAACGAAAATTCTTTGCAGCCCTCATTACAGTATACTAATCTAAAAAAAATTAGTCTTTTGTAACGTACCTGATTGTTGAAAATGAATTCAATAAAAAATAGATTATATGGAAGCTAAAAATTACATTTATTCAAGTGTGTATATTTTTTAAATGACCACATCTATATTTGAGTTGACCAGCCTCCCATCAAAATGCAAAATCACCAAGGTGGGCAAGTCCTTGGTAGCTCCACCTAAGAAGCTACTATTTAAGATGTAGTTATTATAATTCAACTTTTAAGTGTTTGGAACAATTATAAAATGCACAGATTTTTTAAAAGAGGTTAATTGTTCCTAAAGCACAAGAAAAGGATGTGCCTTGATGTATACACATTACCAAGATATTTATTCCAATTTGCCTATATGACTTTGAGGGCAAGGAGTAAATATGTTAGCCATGCATGCGTCAGATTTGCATACATGATATTTGCTTTTGCAAATTTTCCAATCTTGTAATAGCTATATGGCTGACATTCAATTTTAGGAAGAAAATTTTAAAATAGTCCAACTTTTAAAAGGCTGCTTGTTTGGGGGTTTAGGGAGGGGGCTTTTTTTTTTAAGCTCTTATGAAAATTTGTTTCAACTTGACTAAAATTTGGAACTCTTGTCATTTTTGTTCACACATACTCTTGTTTATGGTATTGGATTTACTGAGTTGTAAGACAAATAGACCATTAATGTATATCATAAATATGTAAATAAAACCAGCTGTTGAATCTTGTTTATAAGCTTTGAAGTTGAATAGAGGCTTGTCATTCTAAGCATACAGTGCTTTCTATATTGCAAATATTTTTCTTTTTCCAGATAACATTTTGCCTATAATTGAGCTGATCGGTTTTTATTAGGGCAAAAAAGAAATAGGAGTTTTGTGTCTTAACAAATCCTTTAATTAATCCTTTAGGGAAAACTTGGGCCATGTGGCTACAATTCTGACTGTTTCAAGTTAAATTTAATATTACTTCCGAGTCAAATGTAATGTAAATAGTTTCCAACTTAGTTTGAGAAATGCATTTAAATGTATACAAGTTGGTGTTAAGCATACAAATAAATGCTAAAAACCATTTGTATGTTTAAGATATTTTAATATTACCATGGGACAAATTGTTTCAGCTCTAATTATTCCATAATCATTTAGTGATTAATATATTAAGAAATGGTCATATTAGGGAAACAAGGAAAGTAACCTTTCCCCAAACAATGTATTTTCAAGTTTTTCTTATATTCAGTGAGGGTTTGATAATTTTAAAATGATGTTTCTCAGATAAAGATAGCTAGAGTTAAATGTAAAATAATACTGCACAAAGTGGAAGTTTTAAAAAAAAAATCCTTCAGAAGAATGAACTCTTCTAGCCTTTTCTTTCTGTTAGTGAGCTACGTAGAGTTTAGAACCTCTATTTTCAACTCTACTTTAAATAAACCCTACTTTATCTTTAAATCATCAGTAAAAACTCATTTCCCATAATATTGTTTAATGAAAATGTTTGTTGTATTTGTTATTGTATAAAAAAATACTAATAAGCAGTCTTATCCTGAATCCATTTGTAAGAAATCTACTTGAAAGAAAAAGCTAGGTTATCAAATTAAAGATTATGAATTTATTAGAGAGGGATCAGTAATGTGTAAATAATAAAATCTTATTTGGCATTCCATTTCTGCATTTTTGAAAATGAGTGTGTAGTTTTCATATTCTGCTTTCCTTCCCTTTCCTAGAAAGGTAAGAAAGGACTTCTACAAGTTCACAGGATTAAAGTTGACATGGGGAACAATTAGGGTGTCTGCTTTGAGATTGACCCTGTCTGTACTTCCACCCATCCCAGCTCATAAAGTACAGACTAGAATTTTGGCCATATACCTAAAATTTTCTAGTGCCTGTGTATACCACTGCCTTGTAAAGCAAGAAATGGAGAAAGGAGAACTGATAATCTCAAGCACTAAAGGTTCTGAGACTAATAGTTTTTATTTTTGATGGTTGGTAGATCACTGATACAAAGAACCTAAGGTCTGACCCAGCTAGGCATTTTTGATCTATAACATCTATACCAGTCTTCTGTGACAGTGGCACTATAGGACACTTGAAAATTGTAATATCTCATTCAATCCAATGAGCACTAGCTGTGTATCATATACTGAGGTTACAAAGATGAAATAATGCCTTAAGGTTTAGGATACATTTTCTGTACCACCTAACCCTGAGAGTTAGGTGGTGTGAATATTATATCCTCACTTTGGTTGTAAAACCTTGGGCAAAAGACACTACCTCTCTTGGTTCTCTATATACTACTTCACTTGGAGAACTCAACAGCCCGCATGGATTTAATGATTATTTTTATGTTGAGAATTCTCGATTCTAATCCTAACCTCTGCTAACTTCTAATCTCACATCTTCAATTGCCTTTCAAACCATTTGAATTGGATGCTTTGTAGACGTCTTAGACTCAACATGTCCAAAACTGAACTCAATTCTCTTTCCCCCAAACGTCCCCCTCTTCCTAACTTCTCTATTATTGTCAAAGGCACCAACAACCTCCTAGGGTCCCCCCAGGCTCGCAACCTAGGTGTTAGCTTCACTGTTTCTCACCTGATAGCCAACCTGTTGCTAAGGCCTATTTTTACTTTTGTAGCATCTCTCAAATATGACTACCTTCTCTCTGATACTGCCACCACCCTAGTGCAGGCCCTCATCTCCTCACACTCGGACTATTGTAATAGCCCTGCTGGTTGGTCTGCCTGGCACAAGTCTCTTTCCCACTCTAGTCCATTCTTCATTCAGCCACCAAAGTGGTTTTCTTAAAACAGATTCAGTTATGTCTCTCCCATACTCAATAAACTACATTGGCTCCCTATCCCATCCAGGTTCAAATACAAAACCCTCTGGTATTCAAAGTCTTTCATAACCTAGCCCCACTTACCTTTCCACCTTACACCACCACCCCTTCTCACCCATCTCTGTTATCCCCCTATGTACCCTTCAGTCAAGTGACACTGACCTTCTGCTGTTCCATGAACAAGACATTCCATCTCTCAGCTCCAGGCATTTTCTCTAGTCCCACAAGAGAATGCTCTTCCTCCTTATCTCTGCCTCCTGACTTCCTTCAAGATCCCAACTAAAATGTTATCTACAGGAAACCTTTCCCAATACTTCCAAATTATAGTACATTTCTTTATTAATTACATACTATTTATATTTGTACACATGTGTTTATTTGTCTTCTTTATTAGATTGTGAGCTCCTTCAGGGCAGGGCCAGTCTTTTTACATTTCTTTATATCCGCAGTACTTAACACAGTGCCTGGCACATAATAGGCACTTAATACATGCTTATTGACTGACAAATGTGTAAGAAGAAGGGCCATTCCCCAATAGATAAATGGTTAAAAGATAACAACTGGCAGTTTTCAAAAGAAGAAAGTCAACCTATTAACAACCACATGAAAAAAACCATTGATAATAAGAGGAAATACAAATCAAAACAACTCTGAGGTTCTACTTCACACTGATCAGATTGGTAAAGGATTGGTAAAGATGGAAAAAGGGAAAAGACAATTGTTAGAAGGGCTTTGAAAGGAAAAGCACACTGATACATTGTTGGTAGAACTACACTTGCATGTATTTTTTGTAGGGAGGGTTTTTATTTTGGTGGGGGGGTACAATGAGTAGTTGTGGGAGTGGTGATAGTGATGTAATGAAATATTTGAAAAATATACACGAGAGAGAAGGTCATCCCAAAGAGTATAAGAAGATGTAGTGAATGATCATTATTACCATGTTAAATGAAATATATGAATAAAAGAACCCAAGCTGTACATAATAGATTCATGGTTTTATGCAGAGCAGGGAATTGGAGATCAGTGTCTGCTAATGAATACAAGATTCTTAATGGCAGCTATGTGGTGCAGTGAATAGAGTGCTGGGCCTGGAGTCAGTAAGACTCATCATCCTGAGTTCAAATCTCACCTTAGGCACTTACTAGCTGTGCGATCCTGGGCAAGTTATTTACCTCTGTTTGTCTCAGTTTCCTCAAATGAGCTAGAGAAGGAAATGACAGACCACTCTAGTATCTTTGCCAAGACAACCCCAAATAGGGTCACAAAGAGTCAGACAGAACTGAAATAATTGAACAACAATGACAAAGACAAACATCCACAAGAGCTGTGGGATTATGATCATGCTTAAAAAGACCAACATGAAAGGAAGCCTTCATCTGTTAGTGAATGGGGAAACTTTTTTCACTGTGACCTCTGAATGGTCTCTCATCTTTGGCCAAATGTAGAACAATGTCAATCAGTTACTCCATTCCATTTTTAGTTAGGACACTGTTCTGGTTTAGATGAAAAATATGTTTGCTTCCATGCAACAAAACAACAGTGAAGGTTTCCCTTCCTTTTAAAACTTGATCATGAAGAAGAGCTAAACAAATGAGATTTTGAGATCTGGTGAGGGTTTTTTTTTTAATGTTTGCCCTATTCAGAATGATTCCTTTATTAAAAAATATTGGAAAAACAAATACCTTGTACTTTGATGGGCTATATTCTAACCCCTAAACATTTCATCCCAATTATATGCTTCTTCATTTACTCTCTATTCTACTTCTAGAAAACATGTTCAGTTTTGGTGGTGAAAGACCTCTATCTAGATAATGAAGGTTGAGAGTCCTAAGCTACTTTTAATATCACAGACCAGTTTAATGGCTTTGTCATATTTTGGACATAAAACTAAAAGACAAAAGTTATTTTCACTTGGTCATTACTTGCTTTGTTTTGCACAATGGAACTAATGGTGGCAGTCTTGATGTAAATTTTAAACCAAGGAGTTTATGGTATTTTCACTTTCATTATAATTAATTTTGTTCCTTTTCCTATGTTAATAATGAAACAATCCATATTTCCCAATTAAAAGGGGGCATCATACATGTAGAGTAAAACAAAGACATGGGCTTTTTAAATGCTCCTTCAGTTGATACTCAAAAATAAAGATATACTATGCTGGGAGTGCTTGAGGTGAACACCTTTTGTAGAGTAATAGTCAGAAGATAACAATGCAGTGCCACAGAAGAAAAATGCTTCTATAAGCAAATGTGGGCTTTCTATCACATTTCCACATCTGTGTCATATAATTCAGTTCTTATTGTGTAACACAATTCACAATATTAAACTAAAAGTGTTTCTTGTGATTATATTAAAACAGAATGCCACTTTATTTTGAGACATTAACACACCCCATATGCACACATGCTTATAGTTGAGGATGACTGAGGCTGCAAACATGGGTGACCAGAAGAATGTTGGTGACTAAACAGAAATAGATAAGTTAGGAGGAAGAGTAGGTTTTGTGGGAATGATGAGCGCTATTTTTCCCTACCTTTGGAACTTCCTATCTATTCCCTGGGCACCTCTTCCTTATCTACTTGACTGTGAATCATCCAACATTTACTGAGCACCTCTTGTGTAACCAGGCCTATTGTAGGTGCTGTGGGAGAAGCTAGAGAAAGAGAAGATATAATCCCTACCTGAGAACACTCCTAATATGTTTGGGGACAGTATATTGTGTGATTCAGACTATAAAGGGCTATAGGAAGTCAGAAAAGGAAGAGATGTCCATAAACTAAGGTACTCAGGAGAGGGATGTGAAGGGGCTGGGGGCCAGTGGTCCAGGAATGGCTCCCTGGGGGAAGTTGCCTCGGAGGCAGCTGGTGATGCATAGGATAGAGTACTCCACCTGAAGTCAGGAAGATCTGATCTCAATTCTGGACTCAGACACTTAACAGTTGTATGACCCTGGGCAAGTCACTTAAACTGTTTGCCTCAGTTTCTTCAACTGTAAAATAAGGATCATAATAGCACCTACTTCCCAGGGTTATTTGTGAGGGTCAAATGTGATAACATTTGTAAAAGGACAGTATCTGGCATACAGTAGGCACTTTGTAAATGATTATTTCACAAGACCCCATCCCTCACATTTTAGAAATCTTAGAGGGGGCAGCTAGGTGGCACAGTGGATAGAGCACTAGCCCTGAAGTCAGGAGGACCTGAGTTCAAATCCAGCCTCAGACCAAACACTGACA